ATACATTACTACTGAAGGTTTTGAATTTGTGATTAGAAATGATAGTTTGGGAGTTTCGAGATGCAGAGTATAGACCAGGGTTGTTATGCCTCTAAAAATCATCCCCTAAAACTCTCTAATTAACTTTGATTTTGATTCCAAACATTCTGAAAGACTAAATCTGCAGTGCTTTTAAATGACCCAAACCACCAGGAATACAGTGGTCAGCCAATATCAATGCAAAGAATATTCTGGTGGAAACCAGCTTAGACTTTAAGTATGTAAGAATCCATACTTTACAAGGGCTAAGGGGGAGAATTGGGATTGGGCCTAAAACATATGGACTTGCATAGCAATCCAGATCCTACTAGCTAGCATGGATAAAAAGGTTTCCACACCACTTCATCATCACTTTTCTAGCTAGGATCACACAGAGGCATAGAAGGAGAGAGAGAGTTGTGATAACTTCATTGACTACAAATGGATGATTATTATTTTTATTTTTATTTTATCCGGAGGAGCTTCTTAATAGTTAGCACTTACAGCTGAATTACAGTTAAAGATTGCCGCGCGTCAAAGAAAAAACTTGCCTACCGATTGTGCAATTGCCATGGACCAACAGTAGCTCAAACGGGTTTAAAAAGGAACTCCCCAAAAAAAGACTGCTTTGGTGAGATGTTTCTGACAAAAAGAAACTCTTCCAAACTTTGTTTTGGACTGATTTTGTTCGAATTTCCATCATTCCAGTTAGCTCTTTGAATTAGCCTGAAGTATATTGGTCTATAGACTGATTTTACGCGACAGCCATTTTCAAAAGCAAAATCGAGGCTGCGGTGGGAAGAATCCCGGAAGTATCATACATAGGAATGTTCTGTAACTGGCTGTATATCTTATCAGTGAAGATAAAGTGACACAAATGTATCATTTCTCCGCCTTCCGGGTGACCCGAAGGTCCGTTCTGAATGAATGGTGAATGTAAAAAGGGATATCAGAGCTCATTTTCAGCTAATGGCACTAGTTAGCTAACGTTTTCTTTCCCAAACACACGTTTTAGATGCCATTTATAAGACTCAAGTTAATAAACTGATTCTTTCACAATATTAGACTTGTCACGATACTGAATTAAAAGAAAAACCGGCAATTTCGCGCTAACATTTAAGGCACTGTTGATGGCTTTCTTAAAACAGTGCTGATTTGCCATTGTGTTCACGTGTTCAACAGAAATGGTTGTGATTGGCCGAGAAGGTCATCAGTTCACCCACCGCTGTATACCGAGCACAAACACAGACGAGCCGAGCGATCTGCTTGATTACTTGACTGATCTTGACAACTGCTTCACGCTCCAGTCCTTGTGTCTGTGTTTGCACTGGGTGAAGAGCGGTAAACTGAGTGCAAACCAAACACAGATACACGGAAACTGAAGCGCGAAGCCGTGAAAATCAGTCGAGTCATCCGTACTCAGCAGCGCTTCCATGTTAGCAGGAAATAGCCAGGTTTAAAACTCCAGTACCAGGACAACACTATTATAGACAATACGAGGGTGTGCTGCAGAGGACTGCAGTGTTTTATCACTCACCGGGTTACACAGGCTGAAGCAGGAAAGCGTCCCCACAGTGTTTAAACTAGTGCCATGAGCTGAAGCCTAGGAGGACACTGAAGCATATCACTGAGATTGTAATCTTGTTTGATGCTAAATTGCTTTTAATTGTTTAAAATAAACTATGAATAATAAAATGAATATTATTAAAGTGATGGTTACACCATTTCTCCATTTTAAAGTCTCGGAAACAGCTGGATGTTTGTAGTACACAGCATGTTACTGCAATGTTTACAGTGCTGGACCTACACTTCCGGGTTTCTTCCCACCGCAGCCTCGATTTGGTTCTTTAAAATGGCGGCCGCGTGAAATAAGCGTATTGTAACACAATTCCTTTTGATTCAGGATGCCAACTCATACAGATTTCTCATACAAATTTTAAATGATTAATGAAGGAATTATAATGCTTTGACTTATTGTTTAATCTCATTTACAAGCACAGTAGCATATTTAAAGCTGCTGTATAGGCTTTTTCTGTCCATTCACATCCCGTCCCTTTGCGCCCCCTGGCGGCTTATTCACAAACTGCAGTCATACACTAAAAACGGAGCGGCAGCAATTTCAAACGGCGGCGGTATAAGCCCCGGCGGTAATAGCCACTTTGAACTCTCACCTACTTTACTGCTGTTTATACAAAGATTCACTCTCAGCTTCCATCAGAAACATTTCTCCGCATTCCTACACAAAGTGGACTTGTCGTATGTTCTGCAGCTGGTCATTGAGATTTTTCTCCAAGAAATGGGCCATTGAGGCTAGTAGGAAGTGAATCACTCTGTTTTGCTTGTGATCGCCTCAAAGAAGACTAATTATACCGCCATGAGGAGGGGGAAGCTGTCAGTCTCCAGAGCCAGAAGTGATCTGGGCGGAAATAGCTACATCCAGTACACAGGTCCAATTGAGTACAACAGAACATCTGAAGGATGTGGCTTTTACAAGAGAGTGCTCAGATCCCATCTCATTTCACCAATAACACACTGTGGAATAGAATACTGACATATGCATACAGATATAGGCATCGAGGGGCACATTCTTGAGTAAACCTTCTTTGTTTTCAAGAGCACATCAAACTCAAGTCCTGAGATGTTTGGTGATGGAGGACACTGGAGACTGCACACACAGCTGGCACAGCATGACAAACGCACAAATCTGTCTGCTACACGTCTCCCTGAGGGCCAACGGGGGAGTCGTTATCATTCATCATGCACGAAACTTGGAGGGGAAGCCTTGCGGTTTGGGACGTGTGCTTAGAAGATGCTCGGTGGTTGTTCCATGTCTTTGACTGTCTGTGACTTTGATTATCTTCAATACTGCAAATCCAACATCATTTGAAAGCAGCATGACATGGCATTCACATTGACAGTGGTCTGTAGAAGCTGAGCAACATGAAGTCATTTATTTTAGAGACTCTAAACAAAGTTGAGCAGAGATTTTTGCAACTGTGAATACTATTCCCCTAACATAAAATCTTATTCACACTGCACTGACAGGTCAGGAACAGGTTTGGGATTGGTTTGTTTAACATAGGCTCATTCTGAAAATGTAGCCCTATATACATTTCTGGAGATCACGAATAATGTAGCCAGAACTATGTATTGCTGCATTTCATCTTTAAAGGGTCACGAAACACCAAGACATATTTTTTGAGCTGTTGACAGTCGTATATGTGTCCCACACTTCTAAAAACACTATTAGGACACCTATATTTCACTAAAAAGTGTAAATTGGTTGTTTTTGCGTTATTTCAAGCAAATTCGTACTTCCTGTTTGAAACGAATTTTTGAAGCTGCGTCACGGCCATGACATAATAGCGTGTATTCCAGCGTGTAGACTGGGCGTCTGTACCAGAGTGTGTCTTATTACGTCTTACAGTGTGATGCATTAATGCATGAGTAAGGCTTGGTTCAAACCAATCAGCACGCTCTATTGTGCAACTTCATTAATATTCATTAGTCACAGTGTTTAGACGGCAGAGACGCCACATTGTTTTGGCAAAACAAGCGTGAAGTGTTGCTTTTATAGTTTGCTGCAGTTAGGTTTCGTTTTCATTTTCTGTCTGTGAGAGCTCAGAGTCACGTGTGGATTAACAGTGTACGCGACGCTCGACAACAATAACTTACGTGTCTAAGGAGGATTATTGTTTACCTGAGAGCTGTTCTCAGATCCAGATTCGCTTGTAGTCTTCTCTTAATAAAGACGCAGCTCTTGTTGCTGGTGATTGCCCTGTCTCTACAGATTTGGTAAGTAAGCGACCAGTGCTCTTTGTTTATTCAGTTTGTTCGTATCTAACAAACTATTGCACCGAGTGTAAACATGTTAGCACCACAACCAAACTTTAACCTCGTGTAGGGTTTCTACCGCATTTTGTGACCGGAATAACACACGCGGCTTTCTGACGCTACCTGCCGAGTGCATCTAAGTTTCCGGGAAATGCGGAGGTTTTTTTTTCTCTCATTCGCCGTGCGGTATCAAACATCGCATGAAAAATACACGCTTAGAGCAGTTCCTCCAATCAAATATCTTGTTTGTCGTGAGGGGCATGAATGATTTCCCTGAATGAAAGAGCCAAACTGCAGTTAAAGTCCACCATTTAATAATTTGGCAAATAATTAGACTACAGATGTCCATGTAGGTTAAACACCACTTTCTACTGTGTGTGTGTATTTTGACTCTGAACCTCGCGCGTGCCCAAATAGACACTCCCACACCATCCCACTTTTCTTCCTCCGACACTCCCCCCTAAACAGAGCTGGACACGCCCACTTTTCTGACTTTTTCCAGAGTAGAGGTGTGAAAACACTCTGCTGAAACGAGGGGGTTTCAAGGCTCTTTAAAATCAAACGCTGCGAGGCGGTATGAGGTAGGTTGATTGGTCAGTCAGCGTCCTCAGGTGGGTTTACGTGAAAAAATTTAGGCACAAAAATGGCACTCGCGAGGGAAATCTGAGATCTGAAAAAGTATACACAGCGGCCTCTGGTCGATTCACGAAAACCAAAAACTGCAAAACAATGTAGCTCCTGGGATGTATTTGGCACTCTCCAGAAATGTATATAGGAATACATAATCAGAATGAGCCTAGGTTGGGTTTGTTGGGTTGTGGAAATTCTGAAAAATGACTTGCTGTAATCATTAATTGTTGGACTGAAATGTGGTGTTGGACTTATATATTAGTGACATGATGGGAACGTTTGTCAATGCCGTCTGTCTTTAGCGAACCAATGAATTTCTGGTGTACAGTTTTAGAAGTACACATTTATTTCTTTACATCAACGTAAGAGTGTATTGCATTGTTCACAGGATGTTTAGTATAATATGTGCGATATAGGCCTACTCCACAGTGGCCAGATCAAATTTAAGGTTAATTTGTGATGGATAGAGGGATTCAAATAAATCTTTGCCTTTCTTTCTTGTTTTCTTTTTTCCACAGAAGCATAAAGTGAACCTTTTTTACAAGCTTCGTCACGTGATGAACGAGTTGATTGATCTGAGGCGACAACTGCTTTCAGGCCACCTGACCCAAGATCAAGTCCGCGAGGTCAAACGACACATCACTGTACGACTGGACTGGGGCAATGAGTGAGTTATTCTTTTTTACCTCCAAAGACAAATGCTCTAAACAAACTCAAACTTTTGTCTTAGTCTTAGGGAAAACTTTTAAATGGGTTTTTAGCAACGGTAGACCCTATGGTAACTTCCACTATAAATCTACACCAGAAAATATGTTTAAGCTGTTGTTAGCAATGATAGCCAGGATCCTAATATGCAATATTGGTCTTTATTTTGGGCAATAACACAAAAACATGCTTTAAATATTTTGTTAACAACGTTAGCCATCATGCTAACTTCCAACATTGGCATAAATCTCACGGAAGAATACCTTTAAGCTGTTTAAGCAAATTTGGTCATACTTGTAGGGACCAATTCTCACTTTTAACATACAATCAGCTATTTAAACCCTATAAACTTTATTTTCAGGCATACATATTATTATTAACAAACGTTTCCAAGCATGAACTTTTACTTCAATAAACTGCATATGAATAGCAAAGCTAGAACCAGCAAGAAAATGCCTTACCAGCATTTGGTTTCTTTTAACAGCAGGGAAAGATGGTTTCAAGTTGTTACCTAAAGTAAGCTGTCATGCTAATTTCCACTATTGGTCCTACTTTAGCACAATAACCAGTAAAGCTGACTTTAACATGTTGCTAGTGATGTTAGCCATTATGGTAATTTCCGCCATTGGCCCAAATCTTCTGGAAGATCTTCCAAAGGTGTGTTTAAATTGTTGTTAACAAATTAACCATCATGCTATCTTCCATCAATGGTCTGAATCTTGTATAAAAACCATTAAAGATTCCTTTAAGGTGTTGTTAGCCGATTTAGCCTTCATTCTAACATCTACAATAGGTTTAGATCTTTCTTAAAGAACCACGAAAGATGTCTTTAACAAAGTTATCTAGCTTCCACCATTAGTTTAACTCGTGCAGAACAACCACACGATATACCTTAAAGGTGTTGCTAAATCTGTTAGCTTTAATGTTAGCTTACACCTTTTGAAATGTATCCTATTAAACAAGTATTTGGGATCGATTTCATCTGGACTTTAAATAACCTGTTGAGATTTATGTCCAGCACTGGCATGCTTCACTCAATCGAAAGGTGTTTAAATAAGCTGTTGTGTGTCATGAGAATCTTCTGGTGTTTTTTAATGGGATAGAGGCCAAGGCCTTTTAAATGTGGAGTAAACAGAACTGAAACACTAGAGATGGATTGTTGTGACTTTCTCGTCACCCTAAATCGACTTGGCCCAGAATAAAAATGAGGAGAAAAAGATTATATGCCATTCGTTGCCTGGTTAATGCAAACAACATTTCAGATACAGTAATGCAAAACACAACACAACAAAAAGGATGAGTTTTGCCTTTCTTTAGAGTTAATTAAGTTTTCACTGCAATCAAAGACACTTATGTTTGTCCTTCAGATGCCGCCCCCATTTTCTAACCTACACACTTGTGCAGTTCTTCTTTTTCAGCATTTAAATATCTCGGTATGTACAGTTCTTGCATCATTGTTTCATTGTTTTCAGAGATTTTTGAAAGTTTCATGGCTATTATCCATTTGATACTCAAATTAAACTTGAAATGCACTGTAGTTTCAGAATGAAAGATTGTTTTTTGGGGGTTTATCTATCAGAGCAACCTTCCCAGATCTCCAAGTGAAGAGTTATTGGGTTCACATCTTACAGCATTGAATGAAAGCCAAATAACCCTGCTGAAAAATCCAGCTTAAACCAGCCTAGGCTGGTTGGCTGGTTTTAGCTGGTCGACCAGGCTGGTTTTAAAGGGGTTTTGGCCACTTCCAGGCTGGTTTCCAGCCAATTCCAGCCTGGTTTTAGCTGGTCAGGCTGGAAGATGACAAGCTAAAACCAGCTTGACCAGCCTAGCCAAGCTGGGAGTCCAGCCAAAACCAGCTATATCCAGCTTAAACCAGGCTGGTCAAGCTGGTTTTAGCTGGATTTGGCTGGTCATTTTCCAGCCTGACCAGCTAAGACCAGGCTGGAAATGGCTGGAAACCAGCCTGGAAATAGCCAAAACCCCTTTAAAACCAGCCTGGTCAACCAGCTAAAACCAGCCAACCAGCCTAGGCTGGTTTAAGCTGGATTTTTCAGCAGGGAATTTAAACCAAAAGTCTTTTAGAGGTCAGGTGATCCGAGTATCGGCATCTGCGTTTCAAACCCAAGTTTTCCACTCATCGCTCTTCATCAAGGTCACCTGAAGACTCACTTCTGCGCTGAGGCACTTTGTGGTTCAGGGCTTTCGGCAGGACATCTCTGCCAGGTCTTCAGATCAGCAAACTGAGAGATAATTGAGTAAATGGGATGAAATGGATTTGAGACAGGAGCACTTACAGATGCGTTCTATAAATACTTGAAGGATGAGTTGAAGAGCATCTGGAGTGTGTTTCTAACAATCTAATAATGTTTTTCATTATGCCTTACTCAGGTTAACAATTTTCTCTTGAAGAGGTCTTGTGTCTATTGGCAAGTAACACTGTTACTGTAATATGCATTTGTTGAAGGGTCTCTGCTTACTGTAAATTACTGTTCGCAGTGTTTAATATAGCTGTTTGCGAACGTAAAAGTCTTCAATGTTTTGAAAGGTTGAGTAATTCTACTAAAACAACATGATTCAGAATTGCTTAAACAAGTCTTTTTTTATTATTTTCACTTTTTGCTCCTGCATAAGAGTGAAAGAAAGTAGCTTAATGCTATTCTGTGGTTAACAGTGAACTCCTGATCAACCGTCAGTTTTGACCCTCAACATAGTTGCTGGTGTGGTATTACCATGTTTTCTGTTGACTCTGTTTTCTGTTTAGCAAATGCAAATCTACTATCTAAGGGAAGTTGTCTCTCACTTGAATGAATACAATAAAATTCATGCAATTGATCCTTCGCTAAGCCTTGCCCTCCGTAGTTACTGTTGCTAAGCCTGTCAAGCTTCTATTGTCTATCACAATGAGTATGTATGCGCCGGTTTCAGACATTCCCAGGGATATAAATAGTCATTTTTGGCGATCAGATAAGATATCCGAGAAAGCCAGACAAAAAAGGACTGCAGTATGCATTACAGGGGTATATTCATGACATAATAGACAATGATTAGAAAAAAACAGAATCAAAATTAAAACTAGCTTAGCTTAGCCACAAAACAGGAGAGGTGAAATTTACAAATGATCTAATAATAAAAAATTAAACTGTGATTTCTCTTTTTTTAGCCAAAAAGCCGGATAAATTAATTGTTGTGCAATAAAATATAGCGTTACTAACCGACGAGGAAACACACTTGAACAGTGCTTCTACATTATTCATTCGTAGAAAGAACAGCCAGAAAGAAGAAATAGATGGATTTGTGTCAAATATTAGCATCATTTACCCAAAAAGATGTACACCGATCCCTGTCTGTACGTATGTTTGTGTGCTCTTTATACCGTTTCTATTCTAATTTGCAACTGACCAATAAGAGCAGAGAAGAGCCATCTGACCAATAAGAGCAGAGTAGAGCCATCTGACCAATAAGAGCAGAGAAGAGCCACCTGACCAGTAAGAGCAGAGTAGTGCCACCTGACCAATAAGAGCTGAGTAGGGTAATCAGAGCAGTGTGAAGCAGTCTGACTAAATAGTGCAAGGGCCATCTGATTATTAACAACAGTCTGGCCATCTAACCAGTAAGAGCAGAGTAGGGCCACCTGGCAAATAAGAGCAGAGAAGGGCCATCTGACCAATAAGAGCAGAGAAGAGCCATCTGACCGATAAGAGCACAGTAGGGCCACCTGACCTATAAGAGCAGAGTAGGACAATCTGTCCAATAAGAACAAAGATGAGCCATCTGACCAATAAGAGCAGAGTAGGCCCATTTAACCAATGAGAGCAGAGTAAGGCCACCTGACCAATAAGAGCAGAGTAGGGCCACCTAACCAATAAGAGCAGAGAAGAGCCATCTGACCAATAAGACCAGAGTAAGACGATCAGACCAATACGAGCAGAGTGGGGCCACCTGACCAATAAGAGCAGAGTAGGGCCATCTGACCAATAAGTGCAGAGTAGGGCAAAATGACAAATAAGAGCAGAGAAGAGCCATCTGACCAATAAGAGCAGAGTAGGGTCACCTGACCAATAAGAGCAGAGTAGGACGATCTGACCAATTAGAGCAGAGTAGGGCCACCTGACCAATAAGAGCAAAGAAGAGACATCTGACCAATAAGAGCAGAGTAGGGCCATCTAACCAATAAGAGCAGAGAAGAGTCATCTGACCAATCAAATCAGAGTAGGGCCACCTTTCCTATAAGAGCAGAGAAAATCCATCTGACCAATAAGAGCAGAGTAAGATGATCTTACTAAAAAGAGCAGAGTAGGGCCACCAGACCAATTAGAGCAGAGTAAGATGATCTGACTAAAAAGAGCAGAGTAGGGCCACCAGACCAATACGAGCAGAGAAGGACCAACGGACTAATAAGAGCAGAGTAGGGCCACCTAACCAATAAGAGCAGAGAAGGGCCATCTGACCAATAAGAGCAGAGTAGGGCCATCTGACCAATAAGAGCAGAGTAGGGCCATCTGACCAATAAGAGCAGAGTAGGGCCATCTGACCAATAAGAGCAGAGTAGGGCCATCTGACCAATAAGAGCAGAGAAGAGCCATCTGACCAATAAGAGCAGAGTAGGGCCACCTGACCAATAAGAGCAGAGTAGGACCATCTGACCAATAAGAGCAGAGTAGGGCCACCTGACCAATAAGAGCAGAGTAGGGCCATCTGACCAATAAGAGCAGATTAGGGCCGCCTGACCAATAAGAGCAGAGTAGGGCCACCTGACCAATGTTAAGCTACCTGACCACTCAAATCAGGAGTTGGGCCACCTGATTTTGTTTTAGACACGATGTGAACAGAGCAGATCATTCAGTGTACATCATGAGAACATTAAAGCATTTTTACCCTGAGTTGAAGTAAATTATTTGTCTAAAACCTCTAAGAAAAAAAAGAATTAGCATAATATGGGCGGTTTATGTAAGATTGCAAGACGGTTTATTTGTTGACAACAAGACATCAGCGACGTCTTGACGTAACAAATTAGCTGCATTTTCACAGCAATTGTGGAGTACATCAAGCTTGTCATCACTAAAAACTGTTAATTGTCACATAATAAGTTTGTTACTGTCTGTTTACACAAAGTCGTCAGCAAATAGATTTATTTATGCTCTGATACAAGCCAACGATGCAAGATGTCTCTCTGGAGAACTCATTTGCAAGTAGACTTTCAGAAAATATGCAGAAAATATTAGCACACCCCTGGCTAGGCAGGGGCGCTGGGTTATGCTAATGGTAATTATTTGATTGAGAGCACAACAACCAAAGCAAAAGGGTAGAAATAAGCACCAAGCATGCCCTAGAAACAACTCCAACACCCTAGCAACCACCTTAACTGTCAAGCATGAAGAAGATTTTAGCAGTGCAATGGGTACATTAGCGCTATTAGCATTATTCAAACCAGTTTAACCATTTAGCAAACACCCACATCCGAACAAATGTTTAAATTAAGTTGGAATAGCTGCTTTAGCATTAATAGCATAATTTCAACCATGTTTCACCATTTAGCAAACACCCAGAACATCTGAACAATTTAATGAAGTTGGGATAGCTACATTAGCATTATTAGCATTATTTAAACTACTTTAACCGTTTACCGAACACCCAGAACATCCGAACAAATGTTTAAAAGAAGTTGCGATAGCTGCATTAGCATTATTTAAACCACTTTAACCATTTAGCGAACACCTAGAACATCCGAACAAATGTTTGAATAAAGATGCGATAGCTGCATTAGTGTTATTAGCAATATTAGCACCCAGAACATCCAAACAAATGTTTAAAAACTAATGCTAGTCGTTAATTCAGGATTCCCAGTGTGTTGATGGGGTTTTATTTATGTCTGGGACACCTGACAGTTGTGATGTTTATGTTATATTAAGACACTTTATAGCATGCTATTGCTGTCATGCTTTGTTTATGAGGGCAACAGCTGTTTCTATAGTTCTACAGTGCGACAGCTGCACATTGCGCTCATGCTAGCAGCTTTCTGTGCACATTATTCATACAATCCTCCCAATTTTAACTATTCACTTTGGATTAACCTGGAAAATAGAGTGGAAAATATGCATCTTGTGTCGTGTTTTCGAAGCTAGCGCCCGATATTTGCAATGTAGCGATTGATGCATAAAAAAGACAGCACATGGCTAAATGCCCACCACAACAGGTGGACACAACAGCTTGACAGATTTTCTGTTCTTTTATTATCCACAATATTATACAATCTGTGTGTTTCAGGAGAGAGTAATCTCGGTTAATCTATGTCCTTCTTCTTTCTCTGTGTTTGACAGACATTTAGGCTTAGATCTGGTGCCCAGGAAGGAGTTCGAGATGGTCGATGCGGATCAGATCAGCGTTTCTGATCTTTACAAAATGGTAAGTTGATGGACTGCATTCAGATGACGGTGTGCTTTCATCTGTTCATCTGTGAAGTGTTACATTTTACTGTGCTAGAGTCCAGATGTGGTGGAAAACAGTTAAGGGATGCTTTAATATATAACATTTAATTTAATACATGTGTTTTACTTATTTACACACTCAAAGTAAAATAAATAAAATGCAACACATTATTATTAACCCCTTCAGACCTGAATTATGTTCCAAATTTTAGAAAAATGGGATGTCATGTGATGTCCATTGTAATGGATGCAGGGTTAATATTATTAATATACTGAAGATGCATGGGCACCTATTGTATTCGTTCTGGTTCTTGTTATTATTCCTACTGCTTCTTCCTCTTCTTCTTATTCCGCTGTGGAAGTTTATGGTAACATTATGAGTCGTTTACGTTGTTTGTGCAGACTTTGGCACACTGATAGAGGACAGTCTGATCTTCAACCACAACACATTTGGACTCTAAGGGCGTACTCAAACTATGCTTTCCGAACCGTGCCAAGGCCTGTTTCTCGGATCGTTTGAGAAGTGTGAGTGCTCTGAATTGGACTCAGTCGCGAGTCACTTGGCTGGCCCTGGCCCGGTTGGAAGAGGTGTGCCAGAGCACAGTTCTCTTGGGCTCAGGCGTAGTACACTTGTAGTGTGAGTGCAAAGCACGCCCAAGCCCGAATCTAAAAACGAGATGTCACTTTTTCGGAATTGTTTCATATGGATTTATTAATCATTCTTACTGTTCAATTAATGCAAACTGTCATAGATTATTAAAGACGCAAACCCCTCACTGCACGACAGCTGCACCTTTAGCAAACCTCCTAAGTCCAGCACTAGGACTTTATGATTGTTTATGAGCGTCAAAAGTGGCAGATCTGTTCGGCGAAATATTTGACTGTGTGTCACCGCATCCCAAACACCTAAAAAGATATAACTAAACAAATGTCCACTTTGCTGAGCGAGAGCGCTTCTTACTGAACAGCGCATCATCGATGACGTAAGCGTTCCCAGGCCCAAATGTAATGTGAGTGCAGGTCGTCGGGGAAGACCGGAGGAGGGGCCAAGCGTGCTTCGGCCCGGTTCAAGCAACTGTACATTGTGTGAGTAAGCCCTAACTCAAACGCTCTAGCGCCACCTCTTGTCCAAAGTTTCACTTATGTTTATCGTTATAACTTTTAAACCAAATGGGTTACGATCAAAATTTTCTGGCTCAAGATTCCTAGCCTAAGCGGATTCCCAAGCACTCGTCATTTTCCGTAATGAAAACCTGTTTGAATGAACTCGTCTTAGGCCATTTATCAAATATTCACCAAAATTGAATCACATGATCTTTACACAATGCTGACCAAAAGTTATTGAATGCAAGTTGATTAGACTTAAATTGTTTTTGATTAACTTGCGAACAAATTTAACATAGATGTTGCGAAAATAGGTGTGAGGCGATATATCCATAACGCATTGACATATTCAGAGCAAACTTGGTGTGTGTTATCACAACCATGGTCTGAGGTGAGCTGCCGCTTTTCAGTGCACTACCCCCTAGTGGTCCGGAAATAGAGCTTTTTTTCCATATAACTTCTCAACCCTTTGTCCAAAACTCATAATTGATCTCTTTTAATCCGGCGGAGCATGCCAAGTCGAATGATGTCGGATTTTCCCGGGTCAACCATTTTGGCTGTCAGCCATTTTGAATTATGTCAAAAATTGATATATTCTACGGACGCATTGGCAAGTTGTTATGAAGGTCGAAGTGTGTCTTCGAGATTGTGCCCTGAAGGTGCTCAAAAAGTTTAGTTGCAGCGCCAACATTATAACGATATTTCTAAATAGACTAATAACTTTTGACTAATTTTTCCTATTGTTACGAAACTAGTCTTGAGACATTCCTTGGGTTGTCCTTAGAGTATCAAAACCATTTATGCCTTAATAACTAAATTTCCTGTCCGCAATCTTGCCTTAAATAAAAAACCTAGTTGGCTGATTTGTTCAAATTAGACTCAGATCATCTTCAGATGCTGATAAAAAGGTTATTGAATTTGTGTGCATGGGTGAATCGTTTTTTGTTTACTGTATGCTGGATAAGTTGGTGGTTCATTGCGCTGTTGTGACCCCTGATTAATAAAGAGACTAAGCTGAAAAGAAAATGAATGAATTTATTATTATTATTGTTGTTATTATTATTATTATCATTATAATTGTTATAATTATTGCTTATTAATATTATAATCACATTTTCCCAGAGTTTCCGTGAAGAATGTGAGTTTTGTAGGATCTGTATCCGGAAATAAAAGAACTGTTTAAAGTGTCTGACTAAGCCGTTTCCCAAACTTTTTGGGGGGCTAAATTGAGAGTAAAAGCGAGCACTCGTGGGTCGGACTGCTGAATGTTGACTTGAATCGTAAGAGCCGCAGCCAAACACTCACAGGTCACAGAGAGAGATCAGTGCTGCTCCATGTGTGGGAGGCGGAGGAGTTTCACACAAACACTAAAAATAAAGAACCAGAAGAAAGGAGGATAGAAAAGAAGGAGGCTGGTGAAGAGAACACAAAGACGGAGATGTGAGGAGACTTTTACTTGCCCTCCACCATCACAGAAACACTGAGCTCAGACACGGCAGACCTTTCCTTTTCATAGAAGATACTGCTGCATCTCCTCCAGGAGAGACAATGATTCAGCCAAAGAGCTTCTGGGTTACTTAGATTACGACTATTAGTTTTATAGGTTTTCACTTTAGGATTAATTGTTTGGGTTTTATAGAGAGACGGTGAGGGGGAATCAGCCTTATTTATTTTTTTTGTTATTTTCGGCCCCGTCACTTTATTTATCAGAGGTCGCCACAGCGGAATGAACTGCCAACTATTCCAACATATGTTTTACACAGCGGATGCCTTTTCAGCTACAACCCAGCCCTGGGAAACACCCATACACACTCATACACATACACACTCATACACTACGGCCAGTTTAGTTAATCAATAGTTAATAATAAAGGGACTAAGCCCAAGGAAAATGAATGAACGAATGAATGAATGAAGTTCACAAGTTTTAGCTGTAATTTACTTGGTAAATAGGTAGATTTGCCATATATACTGCTACTTTCTGATGACGAATAAATGTAGAATGTAAATTTTCCTAACTGAAATCAACATCCCTTTGCACTTGAGTAACACACTTGCAGTGGACGTCCTGTGAGTAGCGTACAGTATTAGCAATGCACAGTGACCTCGCTTAATTAGTGCCTTCCAAATGAATACCGCAGACGTATTTCACAATAGACCACAGTATATATTCATCTAAGTTAGTCAGAAACTGATCCTCACTGAAGTGTGTTGTACATGGCTGTACAATCTGCCGCGCTCACAGTGCCGCAAGGCGCTATTTTAGATTAATGAGTCCCGCCAGGCATGCGTTTAGCCTCCCTCATGGTGAACGTGAGAACAGAAGGAAAGATATTTGTTTTACCGACATTTCTCCATTCGGCCTGAAATCCTCCACTGGGTTTGCAAATGGAGCTTTACTTCACTCGCTCGTTGTCATGCACTAGATCAAGGAAATCTTGCCTTTTATCATTAGATAGAGTGCATGCGGCTTTGATGATTCCTTCCGCTAGTCCGTCTTGTGAAGGTAATTATTAGTGGTGTTTACTAAGGGAAGCATCAATATCACTGTACCCTATATCAGCTAAAAACACTTGACTGAAACCTTTCAGTGCCCCACCAAACAAGTATAATGCCATGGCAACAACTTTCAGTGCCCTAGCAACTACTTATATCACTAGACTTAGACTACCACCTACCTGAATGTAACGGGTGCCAGCTCAGGAGGCCCTTTAGCAACTGATATTGAAAGCATTTAGCTTCTTCAGCCTCTATTGTGTCTTTTGAGCTTTTTTTGATAGCACACATGCCCGCTATCCCAAACACTGGCTAAAATCCTATGAGAGCAAGGTGAGTTAGGGTAAATTAGTGCTGTGACCTGGATGAGAGTGAGGACTGGGGCAGGTCTTGACTGATGCTAACAGGCTACAGTCTTCTGTATTGTTATCAGTGCACATTTACTTATCTTAAAGTTCCTTAGGAACCACTGCAACATCTAGATAATTTAAATGTATAATTCACCCAACAATGAAAATGTACAGTTAATTTACTCACCCTCAGGTCTCTGGTTTGTCTGGTTGACTGATGCTACCAGTATTGGTATTAGCCCCCAAAGGGAAAGTTCCTCCAAAAATGAAAATGTACAATTTACTTACCCTCAGGCCTCTGGTTTGTGTTCTTTAGCATTTTTGTTAATATACACATCTTTTATCGTAGAAACACTGGTTCAAATCCTATGAGAGCAGGGTGAATAAAACTGAAAGGGTAAATTGGTGCCGTGACCCCTATGGGAGAGAGGTTTGGGAGGCTGAATGATACTGCCAGTCTTCAGTCTTTAGTATTGTTATTAGTCCCCTTTTGAACTACAGTAAACTCCTTGATAAATTAAAGACAATTAATCTTCAAATAAAGATTTATCGTTGATTTACTTACTCTCAGGCTTCTGGTTGACTGATTATTAGTCCCCTTTGAAACCATCTTAAAGTTTCTTAGAAACCACTGCAAATACATTGATCATTTAAAGGGATAGTTCATCCAGAAATGAAAGTTTACAGTTAATGTACAGTTAATTCGCTCACCCTCAGGCCTCTGGTTTGTGTTCCTTAGCTTGTTTGTTAGTGCACATGCCTACTATCCTGAAAAACAAGTTAAATATTTGGTCTTTCTTTAGTCTTCTATCCTATGTGTGCAGGATGAGTAGAACTGGAAGGGTAACTTGGTGCCATGACCCGGATGGGAGGGAGGTTTTGGGCTGATTGATACTACCAGGCTACAGTCTTTACTGTTGTTTTTAGTTTATTAGTCCCTTTAAACTATCTTAAAGTTCCTTAGGAACTACTGCAAATACCTTGATTATTTAAAGGAATAGTTCATCCAAAAACAAAAATGTGCAGTTAATTGACGATTAATTTACTCACCCTCAGTCATCTGGTTTGTGTTCTTTAGCTTGTTTGTTAGTGCACTTGTCTACTATCTTGAAAAACAAAGGCAAATCTTTGTTCTTTTTAGGTTCAAATCTTATTAGAGCAGGATGAGTAGAACTGGAAGGGTAATTGGTGCCGTGACCCAGATGAGAGGGAAGTTTGGGGGGCTGAATGATACTACTAGGCTAGAGTCTTTGTTAATGTTATTAGTCCCCTTTGGAACCATCTTAAAGTTCATTAGGAACCACTGCAGATATCTTGATAATTTAAAGGAATAGTTCATTTAAAAACAAAAATGTACAGTTAATTTATGCTTAATTTATTCACCCTCAGTCATCTGGGTTGTGTTCTTTAGCTTGTTTGTTAGTGCACTTGCCTACTATCTTAAAAAAACAAGTCAAACCTTTGTCTTTTTTCATTCAAATCTTATCAGAGCAGGATGAGTAAAACTAAAAGAGTAAATTGGTGCTGTGACCCATATGGGAGGGAGGTTTTGGGGGCTGAATGATACTACCAGGCGGCAGTCTTCTGTGTTGTTATTAGTCTCCATTTGAACCATCTTAACGTTTTTAATAACCACTGCAAACACCTTGATAAATTAAAATGATCCGAAAATGAAGATTTACAGTTGTTTTACTCACTCTCAGGCTTCTGGTTGACTGATTCGACCAGGCTACAGTTTTTAGTATTGGTATTAGTCCCCTTTGGAACCATCTTAAAGTTCCTTGGGAACCCCTGCAAATATCTTAATGATTTAAAGGAATAGGTCATCCTAAAACAAAAAAAATTACAGTTCATTTACAGTTAATGTACAGTTATTTTACTCATCCTCAGGCCTCTGGTTTGAGTTCTTCAGCTTGTGTGTTAGTGCACATGCCTACTATCCTGAAAAAACAAGTCAAATCTTTGGTCTTTCTTTGGTTCAAATCTATTAAGGGCAAGGTGAGTAGAACTGAAAGAGCAGATTGGTGTTGTGACTCGGATGGGAGGGAGGGTTGGGGTGGGCTGATTGATGTTACCAGACTACAGTCTTTAGTATTGTTATTTGTCCCCATTTGAACCATTTTAACATTTGTTCTACTGAAGATGCTTTTCTTTAGTACAACATTAAAAGAAGATTCTAACTTTATAAGATTAGTTTAACCAAGATAATATTAAACATCTTTTTTTTCCAGTTCCTATTTTTTTTGGGCCAGCATTAGGGCTCTATTTTGACGGTCCATGCGCAGAGCGCAAAACGCAGGGCGCAAACGCTTTCAGGGCATGTCAGAACGCATTTTTGCTAATTTACGGACGGGAAAATGCACTTTGCGCCATGGCGCATCGGCTAAAAGGGTTGAGTTTATTTTCTTAATGAGTTATAGGTGTGTTTTGAGAATAAACCAATTAGAGTCTCATCTCCCATTCCCTTTAAGACCCAGCTGCATTGCGCCAAGAGCGCATTCGCTATTTACAGGACGCAAAGTAAGTCTAAGTGGAAAAAATGAGCATTTCACAAGCAAACAGTTGACAGTTTTTTAACAGAAAACAGATAAACAGAGCAGCTACTGGGTGAAAATGAGAGATAATGGAACTACTTTCACATTCGCTCTTGGATAGGGAAACCTCTACGCACAGACATCAATTAGCCTATAAATAATTAATTTTGTTTGTTAAGCATAAATATTCGTTTCAAAACTATTTCTAAATTCAGTTCTAATTTCCAGCAAACAAATAAATGAACAATAATGACCAAGTGTGGTCAGAATACTGAATTATTTCCAAATACACCTGCCATGCCCCATATGGTCTAAAACCTGACAGGTGGGCAAATCTAAGCTTGTTTTTAATAAAACAAATATAAATATGGATATAATAAATAATACTGCTAATAATAATAACATTATACAAAAGCAAATTGTTATAATTGAACTGAAAAAGCCTCACGAGATGAAGAAGACATAAAAGCAGTGATTTTTCATATTTATGTAGGCTAGAAAATAATATGATTTGTAATATTTTAATCCTTTATATTTATATCCTATATATATTCTTATCATATCCTATATATATCCTTAATATTTACATTTTTTTCATATGTAAAGATATTTGCCCAATGCTCTCTTGTGCGTATTAAGCAGTGCGTAAGCGAGGTGCAACTCTGCGCCGGAGTTTAGACCGGGTTAGTTTTGGTCTAATGAAAAATCTATTATAGTTTCTCAAAATAGCAACGCGCCAGCAGTGCGCCTCAGAACGCCTTCCTTTTTAGACCAGTACGCCTATGGGCGCACAAATGAGCGCTAATGCATTTGCTATTTAAACAGCGTAGTGCAACGCCTCAAAACCACTCTTGTGCCAAGCTGAAACTACCAAAAGACTATTGCGCCGCGTCTTGCGCCACACTGCGCCGGGTGTATGATAGGGCCCATTGTGTTCACTCGTTCTTTTTCGATAGATTTGCCACCATACACTTTGTTCACTAACACAGACAAGATCTCGACATTTTTGGTATCAAAACTACAAGGTACCAAATCACAAGACGTTTTTCAATACTCAAGAGTCGGTCAAATTACTCAATGCCTAAAACATATAAATCTCTATAGTCAGCCCTGCTTAAACCAGAACACCCAAACTACACCAAGTCAAAACAACTTGACTCCACCCACCAAAACACTGTGGCAACTGTCGAGCCATCGAGAACACCTGAGCAACAACATAGTGATGCGACTCCAGCAGAACACCATGGCATTGTGTGTGTATGATTTGAGTGGGAAGGCACAATCTATTTTACATTAGCGCATTTTGCTTGCCCCTGATCCGACCATGCACTCGCCGACGGGGGTTTGTGTTGAATGCTGGGTAATTTATTCTAAATGGCGTCAAAAGCACCGGAGAGAAAGATGCAAGCTAAGAAACACAGACTCATAATTCACCCAGGCTCCCGGGCAGGATGTGTGTGTGTGTGTGTGTGTGTGTGTGTGTGTGTGTGTGTGTGTGTGTGTGTGTGTGTGGTGTGTGTGTGTGTGTGTGTGTGTGTGTGTGTGTGTGTGTGTGTGTGTGTGTGTGTGTGTGTGTGTGTGTGTGTGTGTGTGTGTGTGTGTGTGTGTGTGTGTGTGTGTGTGTGTGTGTGTGTGTGTGTGTGTGTGTGTGTGTGTGTGTGTGTGTGTGTGTGTGTGTGTGTGTGTGTGTGTGTGTGTGTGTGTGTGTGTGTGTGTGTGTGTGTGTGTGTGTGTGTGTGTGTGTGTGTGTGTGTGTGTGTGTGTGTGTGTGTGTGTGTGTGTGTGTGTGTGTGTGTGTGTGTGTGTGTGTGTGTGTGTGTGTGTGTGTGTGTGTGTGTGTGTGTGTGTGTGTGTGTGTGTGTGTGTGTGTTTCAGCATGCGATTATGAGCATGTGTTTGTGCTTGTGCTGACGATGCCTCTGTGAATATGATTAATCTAGATGTAGAGATCTCACGAGATAATAATCTGAACATCTATACAGTTTTGTGGAAAGCTAGATAAATAAGTGTTCAAACCCTGGAGATAGTGTTGTGTTTACTCAATTAAAGATCAAACATGGTATTGTGTTCCCTTAAAAATGTATAATTGTTGTAATGTGATACTGTTTGAAAAGCTTTCAGTGCAAGCGAGTATAGCATCCACAGTCAGCACTTAATACATCTGGGTTTGAGAAACGTTCATTCTAATGGACAGGATATGTCTGCCATGGAGGTACAGCCAAGACAGTGTGTCTGAAATTCTGTATATACCCACTGACTGGATTTAAGTCTGAGTTTCACCCATATGTGACCACAGTGTTTGTCTCTTTCCTTCTCTCGCTCGACAGCACCTCTCCAGCAGACACAGCGTCCAGCAAAGCACATCACAGGTATGTTTGTCATGCTCAGCACTATCTGAGGACTTGTCAGAATTGCTTAGGGTTGTTAACATGTGCAGAAAGCTTTTGTAGGTCATGGATCACCACGGGCTGAAATATGACAGTTGATCTAAACACCTTGTTTATTCCATTTTGGTGATGCTAATAGGTCTTTTGTAGCCCTGTGTAAAGCACTTGCTCAAATATAGGTCAGTAACACATGCAACACTCTGCTATCTGATTCATGAATAAATAAAGCTACACACATAAATACAAACATGTGTCATGTCAGAAAAAAATCAATATTGAGAATAAAATCCATACAGTGGGGGAAATAAGTATTGTCACCATTTTTCTCAGCAAACATATTTCTAAACGTGCTGTTGACTTGAAATTAAGACAACCAAAGAAATCCTGGACAACCAAAGAAATCCATATATGCATAAAACAAAACTAATTAGTTTACAAATGGATTTATGTGTAATACAATAAAAAAAACGCATGGAAAAGTGTTGAACACACAAAGAAAGGGAGGTGTAGTTGTGCAGTGAAAGCCCAGACAGCAACTGAAATCTCTCAGTAGTTGTTCATAAAGCTTCTGTCCTTCCTCGGTGTAAATGAATGCCAGCTGCTTCAGTCCAACATCTAGATTAGCAGGAGGATGAAGATGAACACAGGGTGGACATTTCAGCAAGACAATGATCCACAACAGCTTTCAGAGAAAGGCAATCAAGCTGTAGAATGGCCCAGCCAATCACCTGAACCCAATCCAATAGAGAAAACAGAATAAAGCTCAGATTTGATAGACGAGACCCACAGAAGCATCGAGGTTTACACACTGTTGATGTCTGTGAGAAACTCACACCTGAGCAATGCATGAGGCTTCATTCTACGTATGAGAGGCATCTTTATGCTGGACTGAACTTTTATATAAAGTAGTAAACACATTTCAGTAGTTCAGTACTTTCTCCTTCTGTCATTCCATTGTTATTACACAGAACTTCAGAAATTAAATTTTTTTTTTTTGTTTAATGTTTGTATTGTTTAGGGGTTTTAACAATAATCTGATTTAATTCCATGTCAACAGCTCTTTTAGAAATATCCCCAGAAAAAAAAAAAAAAAAAAAAAAACATGACATGACATGTTCAACACTTATTTGCCCCACTTTGGATGAAATATGTTATAATTTTGTCTATAAAACTTATGAAGGCAAGACTAAATTAATATATTGATCATTCTGGACTTTGTCATAAAATGACATGTCTGATTTTAATTTATTGTGAAAATACTTATATAGGGTGTAAAAATCTCAAACCTGCCTCTGTAAATTAACCTGTAGATTTAATTAAAAAATAATTAAACAAACAGAAAAGATATCAGCATCAGCTCAAACAAAGAAAATATCTACAAAAATCCAATATTGCGTATCCCTACTATATTTTAACTACGTTCAAATAAACAAAAGGTCCTTAAGAAGTATTTAAGTTGACTTATTATAATCCGGTTTGTTGATTTTCTGAAATAACAAACTATTTACATAACTGCATTTGGAACTATATCCTTACCTTGAAATAAAATGCATCATACGGCAAAAAAGATAATGGTCGTATCACTCACCCTTATTAGCAACATGCTAAACCATGTTTACTGGGCTAAATCATGCTGTAAACCTGTTAACAAATATGTTAAAACATTTAATCAGGACTTTAATTGTTAGAAATGTGATAAAGCATGTTAGCAGTCAGTTTTCATGCTGAAATATGCCAAATAGTGTGTTAAATCTAATTAGCAATATGATAAAACATGTTGACATTGTGCTGTGTTTTTGCTAGAAACATGTTAGTTACGTAATATAAATCTGTTGACTACTTATGACAACACTAATGATAATAATAGTGATATAGCAGAGCTATAATCCCAGCAGGCACACATCATAAGATGTTAATATTAGGCTAGATTTAGGTTGTGACGTCAGGTGACCAAAATTCAATGTCTAGTCAGCGTCTAAGGATGTTATGTTGACGTCCAATAATGGCATACAAATTTACCTTGATGTTTGGTTGATTTTAGGTTGTGTTGGAAAGTGACCAAAATAAAACATCTGATAGATGTCATGTGGGTAACGTCCACACAACATCAAGCTGTAACATGATTAGACGTTGATATTTGGTTGATTTTAGATTGGACAGTGACAGGTTCTGATGTCTACCAGATTTTCATTTCCAAACAAAATCCAACATCCTCGACGTTGGGGTACGTCAATATGACGTCCTGTTCCTGCAGGGATGCAACATAGAGCAATTTAGCATAACGTTACATGTTTACTACTGATAAAGCACAACCATAGAATAACATCCCTGCTGAAAAATCCAGCTTAAACCAGCCTAGGGTGGTCGGCTGGTTTTAGCTGGTCGACCAGGCTGGTTTTAGAGAGGTTTTGGCCACTTCCAGGCTGGTTTCCAGCCATTTCCAGCCTGGTCTTAGCTGGTCAGGCTGGGAGATGACCAGCTAAAACCAGCTTGAGCAGCCTAGCCAAGCTGGGAGTCCAGCTAAAACCAGCTTGACCAGCCTGGTTTAAGCTGGATATAGCTGGTTTTGGCTGGATTTGGCTGGTAATTTTCCAGCCTGACCATGCTAAGACCAGGCTGGAAATGGCTGGAAACCAGCCTGGAAATGGCCAAAACCCCTCTAAAACCAGGCTGGTCAACCAGCTTAAACCAGCCAACCAGCCTAGGCTGGTTTAAGCTGGATTTTTCAGCAGCGATGTAGCAATAACTGTATAATTAGTAATTCTGTAGTATTTCTGTTATGAATAAGAAACACAAGTGATATATACAGGACAAAACATGTTAGATGTTGGATAAAACATCCTAGCTAACATGATAAAGCTTGCTAAAACATGCTAGCAACATGCTAAATCATGCTAGCAACATGCTAAAGCTTGCTAAAACTTGTCAGTAATAAAAGCATGCTGGAAGGATGTAAGCAACATAACATAGCAAGTAACAAAATACCACTACCTACTATACAATACATATAATACACCACAGGTACAGCGCTCAAACCAAGACACAAGGTAAAGCTGATGTTCACTGTGTGTTTTCAGGATGGCGGAAGACAAAGACATGGGGAAACATGTCGAATGCCTGTGCCGCATCATCTCTTTGTCAACCTGAAGAGCTTCACGTACAACACTATCGGCGAGGACACGGACATCTTCTTCTCTCTGTATGACCTCAGAGAGGGCAAGCAAATCAGGTAGGAATTGTCATATGAAAGGCTGTGTATGCATTCAGTGCTTACAGCCAGCTTTTCTTCTTACAATGGCGACGCTTTTATGAGTAATTATTCTAAAGGAACAGTGGAAAACAGCACAAGAGGTCCCGTCAAGAATAAAGTGAGGCGTCATTTTGAAAACATCAAGGTCTGGCAAATGAAAGCGTGCGCAAAAACCGCCCACATGTCTTCTTTACTTGTTCAAAATGAAAACACAGAACTTTCTCTGAAACAGCTGAAGGATGAGATGAGGACAAGAGAACTTGATGAAGTATGCATGTACAGATCTCTGGGTTACCCTGCTGAAAAATCCAGCTTAAACCAGCCTAGGCTGGTTGGCTGGTTTTAGTTGGTCGACCAGGCTGGTTTTAGAGGGGTTTTGGCCACTTCCAAGCTGGTTTCCAGCCATTTCCAGCCTGGTCTTAGCTGGTCAGGCTGGGAGATGACCAGCTAAAACCAGCTCGGCCAACCTAGCCAGGCTGGGAGCCCAGCCAAAACCAGCTATGTCCAGCTTAAACCAGGCTGGTCAAGCTGGTTTTAGCTGGATTTAGCTGGTCACTTTTCCAGCCTGACCAGCTAAGACCAGGCTGGAAATGGCTGGAAACCAGCCTGGAAATGGCCAAAACCCCTCTAAAACCAGGCTGGTCAACCAGCTTAAACCAGCCAACCAGCCTAGGCTGGTTTAAGCTGGATTTTTCAGCAGGGTTGAGCTATGCTATTAAGACATTGCAAGCCTGAGCAGATTTTATTTCCCTAACTGTAAATCTATTTAGTGAATGTCTCACATGCTAACAAAATGCTGTTCAATCAGACGACTAGACAATCTAGTAATTAGATAACACAGTGCACTAATGCTAGCGCCCATGCCAGCAATGATGTTGCTTGTTCCTGGAGGGCCGGTGTCTTGCAGATTTTAGCTCTAACCCTAATCAAACACACCTGAACAAGCTAATCAAGCTCTTTCTAGGTATACTTGAAACACCCAGGTAGAGGTCTGCATTCCGTACAGCGTGAGCCGCGGGACCAGATTTTTGCGGCGCAGGAATAAATTTCCGAATAAAGCACGGGATCGGTCGGTAACTGGTTTAATTTTGTATGGGAGCGGGCGGTCTAACAATATCGCTCCCGACTCCCGAGCAAGTGAGCACCAATATGTATGTGTGTGAATGAGACAGCGTGATGCTGCGTTTAGCTTGTTTGTTGTTGTGCGTGTGTGTGTGTGTGTGTGTGTGTGTGTGTGTGTGTGTGTGTGTGTGTGTATGTGTGTTTATACAGACAGGTTGTTGTAGGCAGTCTGGACTTTGTGTAGCTGGGTGGTTTTGTTGTCCCCTCACTCGTTAGCGGGAACGAGTGCAGCAGGTAGAAAATGGGGCGGGGCGGGCAGCGGGACAACAAATGCTGAATATAAGCAGGAGAGGTCGGGTTCGGGCTAAAACCTGCAAGGACACCAGCCATAAAGGACTGTGACCCCAGTTCTAAATCATGTGAGAATATGTTAGCAACATGCTAAATCTTTTCACTTTATATACAAAGTGTCATGAAACACTCAGAAGGCATTTTGTGGGAAAAGTTTCCACAGGCATGTGTTATGAGGGTTGTTTTTGTTTACAAACCTCAAGTCAATTGCTATTCAGACAGTTAAACGGCGCATATGACTCCTCCCTCCCAAAAAAATGACTTGTTAGAAAGAGGAAGAGGATTTGCTTGAAACACCCTTGAGGGAGTCCAGTTTCAGTGACCATAATAGACTCAACTGAGACTCAAAGACGAGGAGACTCTTCCTCCCGTTACACAACGGAAGCTTGTTTTGTTTCCCCTCTGCAGTTCGTTATGCTAATCTTAAGAGAAGTAAGGCCACTGGCAGATTTCTCCAAAGGGAGTGTTTAAAAAGTAATTCATACACCTCATTAATTAAATTAGAGAAGCGTTTGTAGGACACTAAGAGACGATCACTAAATGTTTCTGTTTGAAGCAGCGGCTCAGTAAGTTCATGTGCTAGCCTTTCATCATTTTGAATGCCAAAAAGAAAAGCAACCATAGCGCTAATTAGGATGGCCAGACCCCTTAAACCGCCCCCATGTTATTATTTTCCATTAAGAAAGCCAAAACACTCAAGTTCTGTCTAAGCATTTTAGATTGTTTATTATTCTGAGATAAAGTTATGCTAAATCATGTTAGAATCATGCTAGCAACCCTTTGAGGCTTTTGAATAGTGTTGATCAGTGTTGGTAACATGCTAAACATGCTAGAAATGTACAAACTGTTTGAAAACATTTAGGGGCGACACACCCTGCAGAAAAATCCAGTTTAAACCAGCCTAGGCTGGTTTTAGCTGGTTGACCAGGCTGGCTTTAGAGGGATTTTGGCCACTTCCAGGCTGGTTTCCATGCATTTCCAGCCTCGTTTTAGCTGGTCAGGTTAGGAGATGACCAGCCTAGCCAAGCTGGGAGCCCAGCCAAAACCAGCTATATCCAGCTTAAACCAGGCTGGTCAGGCTTTTTTAAGCTGGATTTGGCTGGTCATTTTTCAGCCTGACCAGCTAAGACCAGGCTGGAAATAGCTGGAAACCAGCCTGGAAATAGCCAAAACCCCTCTAAAACCAGGCTGGTCGACCAGCTAAAACCAGCCAACCAGCCTAGGCTGGTTTAAGCTGGATTTTTCAGCACGGGCAGTGGCGCAGTGGGTAGTACGATTGCTTCACAGCAAGAAGCTCACTGGTTTGAGTCTCAGCTGGGTCAGTTGGTGTTTCAGTGTGGAGTTTGCGTGTTCTTCCCGTGTTGGCGTGGGTTTCCTCCGGGTGCTCCAGTTTCCCCCACAGTTCAAACAGATCCACTATAGGGGAATTGATTAACTAAGTTAGCCGTAGTGTGTGTGTGCGTGTATGTGTGTTTGTGTGTGTGTGTTTGTGTGTGTGTGTGTGTGTGTGTGTGTGTGTGTGTGTGTGTGTGTGTGTGTGTGTATAAATGAGTTTGTGAATGAGTGTGTATGGTTGTTTCCCAGTGCTGAGTTGTGGCTGAAAGGGCTTCCGCTGTGTAAAACATGCTGGAATAGTTGTTGGTTCGTTCCGCTGTGGCGACTCCTGATTAATAATGTGACTAACCTAAAAAGAAAATGAATGAATGAAAACATTTAAGGCTATGATAGTACATACTGGGGATGTACTAACTATGCTAGCAGTAGCCTTTGCTAAGTTATGCTGAATTACATTCTAGTTGTAAGTTGCTGAAAAACACTAGAAACATGCTGGCAACATTTTAGAAACATTGTACCATGTTAAAACATCTAGCAACATCCAAAACATGCCATCAGTGTGCCGTGTCATTCTAAAACATGCTAGCAACATAACTCATGACAGTGTGTTGAATCATCATTGCATGTATTAAAACATGCTTAGCAGTGTGTTGCTGGTTTAGGAGTAAGTTGTCGACCATTCAAGCAGCGCCATAAAACATGCTAGCAGTGTTGAAAGCTTCTATTAATTTGATATTACATGTTAGCACATGACATCAAAATAGAAATATGGTAGCGATGTGTTTATAAGCAATGGGTTAAATAATGCTTTAAAATAATGTTAAACTATCTGTTAAACATGCTATAAATGTGATGGCTGTCTGCTAAAAAATACTAGCAGTGTGCTAAATCTTGTTAGAAACATGCTACTTATGTGACGTTACAGTGAAAATATGCTAGTTACGTAAAACATTGTAGCATGATGCTACATCATATTGAACAACATACTATACACTAGCAGTGTTAAGTCACAATATGAATATGCTAACAGTGTGCTGTCTGCTAAAAAATGCTAGCAGTGTGCTAAATCTTGTTAGAAACATGCTACTTATGTGACGTTACAGTGAAATATGCTAGTTACGTAAAACATTGTAGCATGATGCTACATCATGCTGAACAACATACTATACTCTAGCAGTGTTAAGTCACAATATAAATATGCTAACAGTGTGCTGTCTGCTAAAAAATGCTAGCAGTGTGCTAAATCTTGTTAGAAACATGCTACTTATGTGACGTTACAGTGAAAATATGCTAGTTACTTAAAACATTGTAACTTGATGCTACATCATGTTGAACAACATACTATACAATAGCAGTGTTAAGTCACAATATGAATATGCTAACAGTGTGCTGTCTGCTAAAAAATGCTAGCAGTGTGCTAAATCTTGTTAGAAACATGCTACTTATGTGACGTTACAGTGAAATATGCTAGTTACGTAAAACATTGTAGCATGATGCTACATCATGTTGAACAACATACTATACACTAGCAGTGTTAAGTCACAATATAAATATGCTAACAGTGTGCTGTCTGCTAAAAAATGCTAGCAGTGTGCTAAATCTTGTTAGAAACATGCTACTTATGTGACGTTACAGTGACAATATGCTAGTTACTTAAAACATTGTAGCTTGATGCTACATCATGTTGAACAACATACTATACACTAGCAGTGTTAAGTCACAATATGAATATGCTAACAGTGTGCTGTCTGCTAAAAAATGCTAGCAGTGTGATAAATCTTGTTAGAAACATGCTACGTATGTGAGGTTACAGTGAAATATGCTAGTTACGTAAAACATTGTAGCATGATGCTACATCATGTTGAACAACATACTATACACTAGCAGTGTTAAGTCACAATATAAATATGCTAACAGTGTGCTGTCTGCTAAAAAATGCTAGCAGTGTGCTAAATCTTGTTAGAAACATGCTACTTATGTGACGTTACAGTGAAAATATGCTAGTTACGTAAAACATTGTAGCATGATGCTACATCATGTTGAACAACATACTATACACTAGCAGTGTTAAGTCACAATAGAAATATGCTAACAGTGTGCTAAATCATGCTAGTGCATATGTGATATTACCCAGCAGGCACAGAAAATCATCAGACGTTAATATATCAGCTGACCAAAAATCAGTGTCTAGTCAGCGTCTAAGGACAACGTTATTCTGATGTAACGATGTC